AGAAGTGGCCGCAAGAGGAGATTTGACCCTGGATTGAACAGAAGGATAGTGTGTATGGTGGACAAAGATTTTAGGAAAACTTCCAAGGAGTTACAAGCTAAACTCCAAGTTCAAGATACATCAGTGTATGACTGGACCATCCATCACTTTTGGAGTGACAGTGGGCTCAAACCAAGAAGACTCAGGAAGGACTCCACTGTTGAAAGAAAAGCACAAAAAAACTAGACTGGAGTTTGCTAAAATGCAAATTGAGAAGCCACAATGCTCCAGGGAGAATGTCCTTTTGGACAGATGAGACAAAACTGGAACACAAAAAAATGAAGCTTTCAAAGAAAAGAACACAATACCTAATGTGAAACATGGAGAGGGCTTGGTTACATTTTGGGGCCACTTTGCTGTGTCTGGCACAGGGTGAATTGAATTTGTGCAGGGCATGCTGAAATGTCAAGCCTATCAAGGATTTCCACAGTAAAATGTACTGCCCAGTGTCAGAAAGCTCTGTTTCAGTCGCCAGTCATGGGTCCTCCAACAGGATAATTACTCAAATCACACAGCTAAAAACACCCAAGAATTGCTAAGAACAAAACATTGGACTATTTTGAAGTGGCCTTCCATGCGTCCTGATATGAATCCTATTGAACAAAAAGCACCATTCAAACCTGAGACATCTGGAGCAGTTTGCTCAAGAAGAGTGGGCCAGAGTGGGCCTACCAACAGGTAGTTGGCAGGTACAGAGGTCTCACTGAAAGTTTAAAGGCTATGTAATCAAATATGGCATAAACAATGCTATAAGACAATTACATTTGTCAGTTTCAAGTTCTATAAGAGAAAATTGCAGGTTCTTTTTTCGTGCTAACAATTTTTTCCGGGAACTGCATCAGAACTTAGAAAAAAAATCTATAAACAATCAGATACAAGTTATTCTTGTACTTTGTTCTTCATACCTGTGACTCAGTAGCCAGAAGAACCACCTTCTGCTCTTGTAGGTGATCCATTACAGAAAAGGCACGTCTTGCTGAAGACTCCTCACTCTCGACTGCTCTGGTTTTGTATTTCTCCAGGTCACAATGCAACTGCTGCATTTGTAATACAAGGGCATCATAATCTAAAAGAGAAAATAACGTCAGGTCAGTATGGTCAGGTCAACTGATTTAACTTCAACTACTCAACATGTTTGTGAATCTATAGTCTAAATCATTTCATAAGAAGTTACAATTCATAGATATATCATGCTGTGACCAAGTATTTGATCCCTCCATAGTTTTCAAAATTTTTGCTGCTTATCACAATAAAATAGATCCGACCTTTATTGTCAGTTCTAGTCAATGAATGGTGTCCAAAAAAGTGGTATACACGGATTCTGCGCCAATAAACTGTGCAAATGTATGTTTTGAAAACAACAGACTCCTAATTGATCAACCTAAGCTATGATGGCTCACACTAAAAGTCTTCCTGCAATTTCAATCACATGCAACAAGCTCTTGCAAAAACCATCAAGAGATTGAAGCAAACTACTACCAACAGATTCAATTGAAACTATTGGTATTAGGTTGTATTGATTTGTTTGGTCTTTTGCGACTGAGAGCTGGTTGACATTTCCACAAAACTGTCAAGTGCACAATGTGCACAATCAAGCATTAATATCAGCTGTTGAGTATAATCAGCATGCATTTGAGCAAGTCCTCTCCAATGAATTTCAAATAAACTAACCAGCTCAAATCAATTTGGTAAACAATAAGTTATAGTTGAACAGCATGCTACACTCAGTAAGGCTTGGTTCACACCTGGGCGTTTTTTATATGCGCGTCACACGCGCGTTTCCATCCCCCCCTGCGCGTTTTAACAAGCGGTTTTAGCGCGTTTGTGTATATTAGAAACGCACGACACATGCACGTTTTTGAGCGTTTTGGAGCAACAACAGAGGTGTCCAATGAAAAATTATTTGGGTCTTTACGCAAGCGTCCAATGAAAAAGACTTCCTGAGACGCAGCATTTCCTTTTCCTGTATGCAAAAGACCGTGTGGTGTGTGCAGTGTCTTTTGTGCAGAGAAGAGTTGCGATTTGTGATTGATTGTTCAGTGATTATGGAGCTGGCTAAACAAAGACGGACTGCAGCAGTCGTTGCAGCAGTGCGCTTGATTCGATTGTGGAGAAGGAGGGATAGCAGGCGACGGTTCTGGGTCCATCCAGTCTAGCGAACCGTGAAGAAAGAGACCAGTTTTGGGCCATGTATGAGACACTCTGTGGACATGAGAAGTTCTTCAGCTATACCCGCTGTACAGGACACCGGGGCTGGGTCCTGGAAGGACGCTATATTTCCCCTCTGTTTGGACTGTGGTCCTTTTAAAGGATGAGACGGGGTTAACTCACCTGCTGGAGGAAGAGTGTGTTTAAAAGACAGGAAGTGGTAGCTAGCAGGTGAGGAGTAGTGTGGAGGAAGTTGGAGAGTGAGGATCTGTGTACTGCTGTGAGCTTGAATGTCAGTAATCTTGCTGGAAACCTGTAGACTGGGAAAGCTACCCTTGAAGTCTGGGACTGTTTAAACTGCGATTGCAGCTCTGAAATCTTCATGTCGGTGAGACTGTTCTTTTGTGTTGTACTGAAGAGTTGCTGTTTGAGTTTGCCAGCTGGTCAGTGAAGATGAACTGTTTTGTGTTTTTGCTGCTGTGAAGCTATTTAAGTCAATAAACTTTACTTTATTTGCAAAGCCTGTGTCCTGCGATCCTGCTGGATTCCCCTAACATTACAACTGGTGGAGAATGCGGGCAGGACAGAGTAACAGGCACAGAAACTGCATTGGATTTAAAACTGACATTTAAAGTGCACTTTAATTATGTCCTGGATTAAAGCTGCGCAAACCCCAAGGACTGACCCAATGGAGGAGCTGATTAAACAGCTGACCCTGGCTAATATGCAAGCTCAGACTCGCCATGAGGAAGCTAATCAGCGCCTAGCAACCCAGCTGGAGGTAAAACAGGCTCACCACAGGGAGGCGCTGGCTCAGCAACAAGACAGCACTCGACTGTTGGTGGCCCAGCTGTCAGCCCAGCAAGGGGCTATACAGACGCAGGTGATGGCCTTGCAGGAAGCAGTGCAGCATCTTTCTCAGGGGCATGAGCAAGTAGCTGTTGCCCCTGGCAACCATGTGACCGTGAGGGCCAGCCACTATCTGCAGAAGCTGACCCAAAGTGATGACGTAGAGGCATTTCTTGCTACATTTGAGAGAACTGCAGAAAGAGAAGGGTGGTCCCTAGACCGGTGGGCTGGCCTCATTGCTCCTTTCCTCACTGGAGATCCTCAAAAGGCATACTTTGTCCTGCCGCCTGATGAAGCTACAGATTATGAACGGCTAAAAGCAGAAATTCTGGCTCGTCTGGGGGTAACTACTGCCGTTCGGGCACAGCGAGTACACCAATGGAGGTATCGCTCCAATCAGGCACCAAGGTCCCAGATGCATGATCTGGGGCAGCTGGTAAAAAAATGGCTGCAGCCCGAGGTGTTGTCTGGCCCCCAGATCGTGGAGGGGATCTTTTTATGCTCACAGAGCTTGCACGACGCACCTTGACCTTAGCGAGGGGAGATTTGAGTGTGAAGTACGAGTGAACCACCTCCCTGCCAAGGCCTTGTTGGACTCTGGAAGCATGGTGACCCTGGTCCATCCAAGAGTAGTCGGGAGGATCGGCCTGGTAAGCAAGACTCTACGGGTTGTGTGCATTCATGGGGACATTAGGGAGTACCCCCTCATTCTGGTGTCCATCTCCACAGCCGGTGGCACGGTTACCCAAGAGGTGGGTTTGGTGAGGAACTTGGTGCATGATATTATAGTGGGACGAGATTGTCCATTATTTGCGGAACTGTGTGCACGAGGACTACTTGAACAGCCCAGAGACTTGGGGGAAACGAACCCATCTCTTCCTGCTGTTGAGGGGGATAATCCTGAACTGCCAGACCCAAATGTTATTGATGCTGGTACTGATAATGAATCCGATAATGATATGATTGATGTTGACAAAAGTAACAATGGTATGGTTGTGAAGGCCAGAATACGTGTTCCCCAGCCCGAGCTGAACAGTGAGGGGG